AGAACGGCTCGTGTTTGATTTTATGGAGCAACCTGAAGATGGGTTCCTTGAAGACGGTGTGAACTCCTCTGGACGAACCCCCTGGGTGGGGTAGCAATCCCTTTCGGGGAATATCTTCGCGCTCTTTCTCCTTTCTCTTGGATTGGAGGGTTCGGCCTTTGCTGCTTCCCATCTCGTCCTCGACCCTTGAGTACTTGTTGATCCGGGCCATCAGTTCCCCCATATCCGAGGGAGTCTTCTTGGTCAGGGATCGGTACAGGTCCGTGTCCCTCGCCAAGCCGAGCCGGAAAGAAGCTGCTGCCATGACCTCCGAGCATCCCTCGACCTCATTGACCTCTTCCCAGTATCGGATGGCGTACTGGTGAAGAGTCTCGGATTCCCTCCGTCTGAGGGTCAACAACGATCCAATGTCCTTGGGGCGCTTACTCCCCGTGATGAATCGGGTTAGGAACTGCCTTGTCAATTCTTTCCAGGACCCAATACTGTCTGGGGGAAGCGTCTCGAACCACCTCATCGCAGAGTCCCCCAAGCTCATAGGGAACACCCGGCATAGAAACCGTTGGTCCGAATGATAGAGGGACATCATCTGCTTATATTGTCTGATATGGGCTTCGGGATCGGATCGCCCATCATAGGTTTTGAACCGTGGCACGACGAACTTTCTTGAGACATCCATCTCACTAATTTCCCTCGTGAAGGGTGTTTGCATGACTTCGTCCTCGGCCTCGTCCTGGACAGTCTTACCCTTTCTTCTGGAGTCTAATCGGGCTCTGAGATCTACTTCTTCCCTTACGGGATGCCTCCTGAAGTCCCTGGGTTCATCGGTAAGCCCCTCGTTTCCTGGGCGTCGTGTAGATTGGGTTGAATCCTCCTCGGATTCATCTCCCTTCCTCCGTCTGGACAAACCTCGCCGGAGGTCGTCCAGGGCCAATGGCCTCGCTTTCCTGGAATGGTTGTCAAGATGGCATTCGCCGGCTCTGGGTCGCTTCGGGGCCCTGGAGCTTTCTGCTTTGCGATCTAGGTGGTTTCTTAGATCCTTCGTCTCCGCCCCATGGACGGGGAGTCCTCGGGAAAGGAATGAATCCCTCGACCCTCCGCCTGAGGCGGCAAACTCGTCAAGCCGGCTAAGGACGTTTACATTGTCCTTCTCCAGCTGACGTAATCTCTCGCCAAATTTCTCTTCAATCACCTCTGCCAGCTGACGGGCCAAGGGGGCTGACCCTCCTGACCTGATCCCCATACTGGTTTGAGGGGTTACCCCCTTGACCGAGTAGAGGCACTTTTAATCGTACTGGTGCGATCCCTCCCTTCGTGATGGCAGGGAGCTTGTAACTCGAGACTCCTTTGGTGGGGTCCTTTCCCTCTTTGTCGAGTGTTCACCATGGTCACTGTTCTTTATAGAGAGAAAACAAGGAAAACTAGTCGTTTCCCACAGACGGCGCCAGATTGTGCGTGCAAGATCCTGCACAATGTAAAAAATATTGGGAACAGATCTCTCCCCTGGTGAAACCTTGAGTGAGCCGATTGGGTGGCTAAACACGCTGCTTAAAACAGCCTGCAAGGGACGGTGGCAACCTGGAACGGCAAAGGAAGATCCTGGGAAAGGAAGATTGTCCTGTATGTGTGAAAGGTTTTCCTGGAATAAAGAGAAACAAGTTAGAAGGGTGCCGGAGTGTGTTCCGGCGTATCCCCTCCGACGGTCTAGTCAGTCTTTGAATGAGAGAGAGGAAGAAGAAAACACTGAGAAAATCTGTATTGTAGTAGAGAGTTCGTGATTGCATACCCGCTTTGCCTTTTGGGAGGAGTATTTATACCTTAAAAGCTCATGATTGCTGTCAGTAGATGATCATCAGGCACAGGTAGCGTGTGTATTGATTTGATGAGGAATGTCTTCTCTAATTGACTGCTCGGGGTCCCGAGCAATCAATGCTGAGTCGTCGGGACGCCGACGGTACAATATGCTCCTTTCGGGAAGGATGCAATAAATGCTCTGTGATAGGAGCATTTATTGCCTTTCATATCCGAACCTTACCGCATTGAATGCGGTCTCGTCAACAGAAGGGTGCAATTAATTGTTTGCTTTCCCAAGCCATGTGTCAGTAACGGCGTGCAGTTTGTCTGTCTTTGATGTGACATCATTTGCCACGCGTCCATCCCTCACTGGCTGTGATTACTGTATTCCGGTATGTTCTGACATTACTTGTGTAAGACGAGGTCATGATGAATAGTCTAGACTGGCATAGGCTGATGGTCCGTACGTCAGTAGCTTTGTCCTGGAGTAGAGGAAGCGACCAGGACGGAGTAACTCTCGGCACCGAGAAAAGGCTCACCTCGGGGACCGAGAGTGGTATGTTTCCGGGGTACATGGGTGACCGAGGACACGTGTTGTTGTATATTACACCGAATGCATGATCCTATACGAGAGGTATCCCGGGGGGGGAGGACACTTGTTGCCGATGGTGCTTAAATCCAAGCAACACTGTTCCAAGACACCCCGAGGACACGTGTCTTCATCATAGGGCTTTTTCAAAAGAGTCCCATCAGCTCGCTAGTGGGTACCTCCTCCTTTGAGTGCAAGGGCTTATATGCGAGGGGGGAAGACGACTCTCTTCCGATGTGGGATTGCCTTAGGAAAGGGTCCTATTGGCGAAGAGAGGTAAAGACTACTGGGGGGTCGCCCGCGTGGGTTAACCCAGGTCAAGCCGAAATCCTGAGTGGAGGGTTCTACCCCTTACAAAAAGGCGCCTTTTTGTAAGGGGTAAAACTCTCCACTCAGGATTTCGGCTTGACCTGGGTTAACCCACGCGGGCGACCCCCCAGTAGCCTTTACCTCTCTTCGCCAATAGGACCCTTTCCTAAGGCAATCCCATATCGGAAGAGAGTCGTCTTCCCCCCTCGCATATAAGCCCTTGCACTCAAAGGAGGAGGTACCCACTAGGCACCTGATCAGGTCGCTAGTGGGTACCTCCTCCTTTGAGTGCAAGGGCTTATATGCAAGGGGGGAAGACGACTCTCTTCCGATGTGGGATTGCCTTAGGAAAGGGTCCTATTGGCGAAGAGAGGTAAAGGCTACTGGGGGGTCGCCCGCGTGGGTTAACCCAGGTCAAGCCGAAATCCTGAGTGGAGGGTTCTACCCCTTACATAGAGTAACTTTTCTTTGGGTTGCAACAATAAAAACTTTATATAGGAATGTTCCCTTTTACATTTAATAAGCCAAGTAAGATGTACATTTTTTGAAAGCTTAGGCATTTATGTAAGAATTCACATAACAAACTCATCCGCATGGAAAAAGCAAAACGACCGTAAGTATTACACGTGGTTAATGCAGGAATTTGGAAGAGATAAGAAAGGAGTAGAAAGAGTTAAATGTAAACAACCCAAACTGCGTTATTGGTCCAGAGAACCTGAACCTGAATTTTCAACTCATTATGATGGATCACGCAAGTTAGACAAGGGACTGAGACCAGCTCCACCTCCCTGTCCTTAACTTGGATGGCCATCTAGCACAATTTGTCTACTCGAAGCAGGCTTGTTTCTTAAGGTATTATCGCCAGGGGGTCTTATCTTTTTTTGTAGAATGGAAATGTAATCACAAAAGCACATCACCTTCAATTGTCGACTAACAAATGTGAAGATTCAAATTGATGGTTCAAAGCATCAGCTAATACCGATACAAGTCGGCCGAGTCGTATCTGACTCAACACCTTCCGAGACGACACTATTACACGATACGTATAAATCCGAGTTTCGCACGTCTAGGCAAAGTCGTCCGAATTATACCCGAATCAATCTCAAGTCACAGAGTTATCGTCATCGATTCGGCCGCTATAGTTTCTCGACGCCGCAATATGACATGAATCTTTTTGTCATTTTCAAAATTTTCTTTTAGGTCGTATCGCCCGGTACCACACCGCGACCGATGTGTCTCAGAGCTCTTCGAGTCGATGGCCGATACTGCAACCTTGACCATGGTCGAGCTGCTGGAACCAGCTGGAGTAAGGGTGAGAAGTCTTGTCCTTTGGATCAGCTAATATTGTGGTTGACTGGATCTGTTAAAGAAAAATGGTTTCAACACTTGCTTCAAAGAATAAAACTGGCTATGCTGGTATACAAATATGCTTGTTTTCGAGATATTGTCACAATAAATTCTCCCCAATGCACGATAAAATAGGGATAATAGATGTAACTTACTGCTCACAGAGTTTCCCAGATAGGTTAGCTGCCAGGAAAAGCAGTATTGGCCAGTTTCTACGCCAGAAGGCTGCATTTAAAATCGTGTTGCTGGTCAGCGATGAATCCATTTCCACTCATTCTTGGCACTGTTCTTTGATGGGAGCACAGTCATGTATTTACTGTTCCCATGCTTTTGTGCATGTAATGCTGGGGTCATAGTCATGCTAGTTGAAAGTTCATTGATTGTATGCTCACAAGTTTGCTGGTTACTTTTAAGTGTTATTGGATTGTTGATTATTCTTCCGAGTGGTTTGTTAGGAAGCGTGTATATTGAGGCATGGATCCTGGGTATGACCCTTCTTATTTGGTACGGTTGGACTACTATTGTCTTGTCTTTTTCTTGTAATTAATGATCTCTATCTTTACTGAGGAAAATTAAGAGACAGAGGAAGGCATAATGCTTGTCTGCCCCAGTGCCTTGTATATAGAGTAGATCATTTGTTGTTTGTAAGTATATTTTAACACTAACATTAGGAATAGAAATATAGAATTATTTCACTCACAGTGACAACTTCAGTTGACAAGAGACCTTCGAAATTCTTCAGCTGAGGTGCAATCATTCTGCAAAGTGATTCAGTTATATCACAAATGATGCAAGGGTTTTTTTGGACAAAATGAAAAGGAAGGAGTGGTAGGGGTCTTAAAACCATAAACACTAGATAGCAGTGGTTTTCCCAAAATTAGATAAATGATATATTGACAATGGCAAGGATTCAATATCCCGTTTATGGGAATAAATATAACATAAAACACAGGGATATAAAGTTTCACTTGTTCTTGATGTCTGCCTCCCTTCGACCAAGTCTAGGAGTATCAGCAGTAAGAATAATAGCTTTGAATCCATTCTTTTCGGCTCTGTGTACCATCAGAGCTGACACATCACGTATTTTGTATACCTATTAAGTATTGACAGAGGTACCAAATTAAGAAGTCAGCTCCCAAAAATAGATTCAGAGATAAACATATCAATCAACCAGTGCTGCTTGAGAAAATTGGATCAATGAAAAAGTTAAAACTATGAGAGCTCAAGAGAAAATGGAATACATATAACTGAAAGAAGCGAATAGAATTGCAGCTGCAAGCAACCTCCTCCACGGTGCAGGTAGACATAAAGGACAACGCCTGCAATAAGAAAATCACAGAATTTAAGCACGCAAATCAAACAAACTAGCTTGACTTTAAATAGAAGTACCATTATGGTCTCGCATGCAGCTGCTGCTCTGGCTGTTGCAACCTCCCCTGGAATAAATATAATCCACAGCAGGAATCAAAACTACACATCAAATTCAGTCAAAAATGTTCATAATAGAAAGTACACCTTCAGGGAGTGCCAACTTATGCCTTCCAGTTGGAGCAATCGTGATGGGCGCTGAAGTATTGTACCCCAATATTGTAGTCGACATATCTATCCTCCTAACATCTACAAGAATTCTTGGCTGAATACTGAGATGATAGAAAAGTGAAGTTAAAGTAGTGTACCCTGCTCCCTAGTTAAATTGGTAGGTATCACACCTTACATGATTCTATGAAATGCTTCCACATTTTCCTTAAGCGTGTGTTGGTCCTCAGCACCTCCGCGAAAGTAGTCATAGTACATCTTTGGAAGGGCCTGCCTTGCCAGTTCTTGAAACTCATTCACATTGACCAGTTCAGCTGCCATTAACCTGCAGATGTGCAACTAATTAATGACCATGTCAACTTTCCAGTAATTCTTACGATGGTGCAATTACATGAATTTCAATCACCTTGCATAGACATAAGCTTGATCTTCAAAATTGACAGGGAACAAGCTAATAAAGTTTAAAATGACATTTTCTCGTCCTAAAAATGAATTCCAAATGATGCCATCCATTCCTAAGTTAAGTTGAAACATAGACAATTCTTGTAAGTCCTTGAACAACACAATTACCACATTAGACCGCTATATACTGCTAAATCAGAACAAACATATGTAATTGTTGATTAAGTTAAATCTTAGAATGAAAATAGATCATTCACTCCTGATCATCCATCAACAAACAAAGGTATGTGCTGATTAAGTAATATCTTAGTGAGCTTATAGATTATCCTCTTCTGACCATCTATCCATAAACTGTGTGTTGTGATCGTGCAGCAATTATGGTGAATAGTAAGGAATCAAACAATTAAGAAAGTAGGAGAAAATAACACACAGAAATTTACGTGGTTCGGCATTGTGCCTACATCCACGAGAGCGAGCGGCCGTTCTTTTCCATAATTGAAGTAGGGTTACATCTTAAGTATTTATATAACTCTAATATGGACGTATTTACAAAAATACCCCTGTACCGTACCGCCCAACTAATCAGCGTCCCCTTTATATAAATCCCATAAGGCAGATGCCGTTGCGGGCTCCACTTGCTCCCACATCTGCCTTCTTGCCATTATGCACACAGCAAATATGAGCTACACATACTCTAACAAAATCCACCTTGGCAAATATTCACCCCTTAGAAGAAAAAAAGAGGACATGTATTCGAGAACTCCACCGGGGACGCTGAGTTGAGGCATCTCCCATCTAGCAACTAGAGACATTAATCAAGTCCAAGCAGTGCTTGAACTTGTCTGTAGTAACAGGCTTTGTCAACATGTTTGCTGCATTCTCAGAAGTGTGAACTTTCTCAAGTAATAGTTCACCAGAAGAAACCAGTTCCTTGATCTTATGAAACCTCACATCTATATGTTTGGTCCTCGCATGATACACCTAGTTCTTTGCCAAATAAATGGCACTCTGACTGTCACAATGCAATTGAACTCCACCTTGCTGGGCACCTAGCTCCTTGACTAAACCTGTAAGCCACAAAGCCTCTTTGGCAGCCTCAGTTACTGCCATATACTCTGACTCAGTAGTAGATAGTGCAATTATAGGCTGCACCATGGACTTCCAACAAATAGGTCCTCCCACAAGAGTAAACACATAACCTGTGGTAGACCTCCTGTCATCCAAGTCCCCTGCATAGTCTGTATCCACATATCCCATAACTGAAGGGTCACTCTATTGTCTGCTAAACCTGATGCTATAGTCTGTAGTGCCTCTCAAGTATCTGAAAATCCACTTGACTGCATCCCAATGCTGTCGACTCGGATTTGAAAGAAACTTGCTAACCACGCTGACAGCTTGTGCCAAATCTGGTCTTGTACAAACCATAGCATACATCAAACACCCCACTGCACTAGCATATTGGACCTTTGACATGTCATGAACTTCATCATCTGTCTTCGGGCACTGAGCGGTAGACAATCTGAAATGATTCGCCAAAGGTGTACTTACTGATTTTGCATAACTCATGCTAAATCTGTCCAACACCTTCTCAACATAGCTATGCTGAGATAGCCATAATCTCCTGGAAGCTCTGTCCCTGCAAATCTCCATCCCAAGAATCTTCTTGGCTGCACCCAAATCCTTCATGTCAAATTCTCTACTCAACAAAGTCTTCAACTTGTTGACCTCACTCATACTCTTGGCAGCAATCAACATATCATCCACATAAAGTAACAGAAAAATAAATGAATCATCTTCAAGCCTTTTTACATAGACACAACAATCATACTCACACCTTTTGTAGCCAATTCGGATCATGTAAGAGTCAAATCGTTTGTACCACTGCCTCGGAGACTGCTTCAGCCCATAAAGTGATTTCTTCAAATTACAGACCAAATGTTCCTCTCCAGGGAGACTGAACCCTTCTGGTTGTACCATGTAAATCCGTTCCTCCAAGTCGCCATGAAGGAAAGTTGTCTTTACATCCATCTGCTCCAACTGCATATTTGAATGTGCTACTAGTGCCAACACTGTCCTGATGGAAGTGTGTCTGACCACGGGGGAGAAGATCTCATCATAGTCAACCCCTTTTCTCTGTGAGTAACCCTTTGCTACTAGACGAGCCTTGAATTTTTCTCCCTCATTTTCTGATATTGTTTCTTTCTTCTTATACACCCATTTGCACCCTATTGCTCTCTTCCCCTCGAGAAGTTCCACCAACTCCCACGTCTGGTTCTTATGCAGAGACTCCATCTCCTCCACCATAGCACCCATCCATCTACTTTTCTCTTGGCTTTGTACTGCCTCCTGAAAAGTTGTAGGATCCCCGCTACTAGTAATAAACGCATAAGAAACCAAATCTTCAAAACCATACCTGGTAGGTGGCTTGATATTGCGTTTGGGCCTGTCTGTGGCTATACTATGATGTTGTTGATCACCTGAGATAGAACGCTCTACATGCTGAGCATCCTCTTCTCTACCATGATTCTCTAGCTCCACCTGCACCACATGCTCATTAGTGCTACAGTTTTCTGGTACTTGTTTCTCTTCTTCCTGAGTACGCTGTAACATGGCTTTTTCATCAAAAATCACATCTCTACTGATCACCATCTTGTTTGCCTTCGGATCCCAGAGCTTGAAGCCTTTCACTCCTTTCTAATATCCCAGAAAGATACACTATCTAGACTTCACATCAAGCTTCGACCTCTCCTCACTAGAAACATGTACATAGGCTGGACATCCAAACACTCTCAAACCAGAGTAGTCTACCTCACTGCCTGTCCACACCTCCTCTGCTGCCCTCGGTGATCTGTTAATTAAGAAACATGCCATATTCACTGCCTCTACCCAGAAATTCTTTGCAAGCCCTGCATTCAACCTGAGACACCGAGCTTTCTCGGCTATCGTTCTGTTCATCCTTTCTGCTACACCATTTTGTTGTGGTGTCTTACGGACTGTGAAATGTCTCTTGATCCCATGCTGCTCACACAACTCCTGGAACTTTGAATCTGTGTACTCAGTACCATTATCTGACCTGAGGCATTTAATCTTCCTCCCTGTCTGGTTCTCTACTTCAGCTTTCCACAACTTGAACTTGGCAAACGCTTCTGACTTGTGCCGCATGAAGTACACCCAGACCTTTTGTGAGTAATCATCAATGAAACTCACGAAATACATGTATCCTCCCCGTGATAGTATGCTAACTGGTCCCCAAACATCTGTATGGACATAGTCGAGAACCCGCTCTGTCTTGTGTGTGGCTGTCTTGAACTGCACCCTATTCTGTTTTTCAAGAACACAATAGATTTTTCTTATGAAGCTCTAGCATCCCACGCTCACTCATATGACCCAGCCACATATGCCACAAGACTGTATTATCTGATTCAGACTCTACAGCAGCAACTCCACCTACAATTGTAGTACCCAGCAGTCTGTAAATGTTTCCTACTACTTTCTGTCCTTTCATCACTGTCAGCATGCCTTTACTTACGTTCATTACTCCACTTATAGATTTGTAACTATAACCATTACAATCCAAAGTGCCCAATGAAATCAAATTCTTTCTTAGATCCGGTACATGTCTAACATCACACAACGTTCTAACCATACCATCAAACATCTTAATTCTAATATTTCCTATTCCAACAACTTTGCAAGATGCATCATTACCCATCAGAACAGAACCAAAATTTACTGACCTGTAGGTGTCAAACCAATCTTCGTTGGGTGTCACGTGATAGGAACATGCTGAATCCATAATCCAAGAATCTGTTAAACGATCTGAACTAGATAAAACAAAAAGCATATCTCCGTCACCACTCTCTGAATCTTCTTCTTCCACTATGTTTGCAGACTTTGATGCACCTTCTTTGTTCTCTGAATCCCCTTTCTTTTTCTCTGGACAGTCTCGTTTAAAGTGCCCCTTTTTCTCGCACTTGTAACACGAGACAGAGACGTCCTTCTTCTTCTTCCTCGACTTGGACCGGGCTTTATTGTTACCCGATCCATTCCGAGATTTGCTTCTTCCACGTTCCTGGTTACCTTTCACCACAAGCCTTTCACCTTGTGAAGCCTCATCAGTGGCTTTCTTCCGCTGATGAAAACCTAGTAGAGCACCTGTGACATCCTCCAATTCGAGGGTTTCTTTCCCCCACATCAGAGTCGTAACCAAATTCTCGTACGTAGGAGACGCCGGTAGGGAATTCAGCAACATCAACGCCTTATCTTCGTCTTCGAACTTCACATCAACTCGCGCCCTCTGATTGAACACGTTGATGTGTTGGGTCAAATCCGCGCCCTCTGACATCTTAAGACCATATAGTTTCTGCTTAAGATAGAGCTTGTTCGTCAACGACTTGGACATATACTGACTTTCCAGTTTCAACCAAACTTCCGCCGGTGATTCCTCATCCATGACGTGATACATCACTTCATCAGCCAGACAAAGCCTAACAGTCGCCACAACCTTCGCTTCCAATTCTTTCCAATCCATGTCGTCCATTCCTGTCGATTGTTTTTCGTATAATGCCTTCACCATGCCCTGCTGCACTAACAGGTCCTTCACCCTCCTCTGCCATAATTCAAAATTCCCAGTTCCGTCGAACTTCATGATGTCGAATTTTGTAGAGGAAATCCCAGACATCGTAGTCTAGCTTTGATACCAATTGTTGTGATCGTGCAGCAATTATGGTGAATAGTAAGGAATCAAACAATTAAGAAAGCAGGAGAAAATAACACACAAAAATTTACGTGGTTCGACAATGTGCCTACATCCACGAGAGCGAGCGGCCGTTCTTTTCCATAATTAAAGTAGGGTTACATCTTAAGTATTTATATAACCCTAATATGGATGTATTTACAAAAATACCCCTGTACCGTACTGCGGGGGCGTTGCCTCCGCACCCCCAACTAATCAACGTCCCCTTTATATAAATCCCGCAAGGCAGATGCCGTCGCGGGCTCCGCTTCGCTCCACTCCGCCCGCTCTGACATCTGCCTCCTTGCCATTATGCACACAGCAAATATGAGCCACACATACTCTAACACTGTGCAATCAAATGAACGATTTAAAC